GAAAGTGCTTGGCAGCCCAGATCCAGCCCTTGGGCCATATTTTCCCGCTCCTGGCCTACATGCAATTCATAGTAATATAATGATGAAGGGCTGTTCAGTAAATGCTTTGCTCAAGATTCAGTGTTGCCTAGATACCAGTTACAGTGCATCTAATAATGTTTGCTACCTTGTTAAAGTGCCATGAAGGTCTCTAGGGAACTGTGAAAACATGGGATAAAGGGGCTCTGGTCTGGTCCTCCTGGTTGGGGGTAGCGCGGGGGGGTTGGTAGCTCACCCATGTCAACAATTTCAATTACAGTCTACAGGAGAAGAAACCAGATAAAAATGATGGTTTGAAAGCTTCTGAAGTTGGAACAGGCAATGATGCATAAACCATAAACTGAAGACGATGATTATGACAAGTTTATAAAAAAAATTTAAAAATCAAATAAATCTTCTGCAGCAAAGTGCAGGTTCATCTAGTGTGTATATATCTATCTAGATATCAATATATCTTTACCGAGAGAGAACTACTTTTATTTAAACTAAGATCCTTACTAACCATCTTTGATTGGCATTCAAACCTCTAAGGCTATATGCTAGCTATTATAGAGCACATAATAACAATAGATAAAGAAATATGAAATGTAATAAAATTCTAAGTAGTTTCATAAGGCGGAAAAACAAGCAAACCACTTTTCATCTGAAACATCTTTTTATATACAAAGCTACAAACAGTAAACATTATAAAAGAAAGGAATTTTAAAAAATGTTCATTCAACAACTAGACAGCATAACTTGTATGTTTTATGTACATGTATAATAATTCAAAAGAGAAAAGAATGAAGAAAAAACATAATTATAAAAGATCTGTTTATATATAAAAATGTAATGGCACTAAACAAGCAACAAAGTTATTTAAATCATCGTAGCCACAGGGCAGTTCTGTATAATTTTCCGCTGATATTTTAGAGCTGATCCTATCATCAGCATTTTGTTCTTAATTAAAATAACCTCTAGAGTTCCAGTAACAGGTAATATGTTTTTAAAGAACTACAAGTAAAGCATTATTAACACACAGTTCGCTGTATTAGACAACTTTTAGTTACATTTATTTTATTCTATCCTCATAAATATTTATGCAAGCATTTTTTGTTTCTTATTCTCTTCCTTCTATTTACAGTATAGATTTTTGTTCAATCCACAGGGCTGTTTGCCACACAGAATCCAAGGGAACAATACTTCTTTCTTCACTTCAATATATTTAATTCCTTTCTTTTTTTTTTTAAATAAATGTGCGTGCAGACACCCAGTTACCTGTGTGCTCCGTCCCCTACCAAAGTGAGATAACTCACCAGCAGACTTGCCTGAAAATATAAAACCCCTTTCTATAGAAAACAATCTATAACCAAGCTCTAACGATCATCTATGCTGATGATGAGACAATGGACCATTCCTGCCAAATTCACTTGTAAATAATACTTCCCAGATTCTCTTCCATCTATCGATTATCTAAGCGGCACCTATATAGCCAAGTGTCTAAGCACAATCGTATTCTGCCTTGCTTGCGTTCCTGAAAACCATACCATATCTACTTTTGCAACATGCCTTCATCTTACCCTTAAGACTAAATAGTAAGAACCCACCCATCTCTCATGTCGACAGATTTCATAGCTTTGAGTAGAAAGGAACGCTAGGATTACTCTTCCATGCCTAAATGCCATTCAGATGCCTATTAGGTAAAACAAGATAGAGCACTACAGTATTAGTACCTGCACCAAAACTAAGCAGAAAAGCTTTCTTTGATTTTAGTGATGTTTGAATCAGGCCCTAAAGACTTAATTTTGCCCTAAGATGTGAGTCTAAGATGCCTTATGAACTTAATGTGGAAAATTGAGGTTCAGAGGTATGTATGTCTTCACAGCAATTAATATTGGGGATCAGCTCCAAATGCCCCTATTAGCCAAACTTGGGTGTGAATAGCCACATAAAATCAAGCTTAAGTTACTGGATCCATGGCTAGTATAGTCCTACCTCTTGTGCTGACATTATTGTCTATTAGGTTTATGCTGACATAGCCAGCTGTCAACATAAACCATTGAACTATAAACGAGAAAGTAAACAATCCAGAAAACAACATGAGCAATATTTGCCAGACTGATAGTTTAGTAAACATGATGTATATTCAATTCTCACTAATATGATTCACTTATGTTTTTTTTTTTGTGGTGAGTAGGGGTACGGTCTCAAAATCAGAACTTCCTAAACTTCTGAAGGTTGGAAGCTGCCATGGGACAAGAACAAGGGGTAAAGAATTTTGGATATGCCCAGTGCATCCTCCTCTGTTCCTTGCCACTGTATGAGACAGGATACTGGGCTAGATGGACCTATGGGTCTGATCTACTAAATGGCAGTTCTTATAGACTATAATAAAATTTAAAAAGTCAAACAATCAGCAAAGAAATTCTCAACAATATGAGAACAATATGATCACTTGTTAAATGTCATTTCATGGGGGAAACAACAGAGACTATAATCTGTCAAAATATATGACTGCTACTTCTGTAATGTGAGATGACTTATACTGGGCAAAAAGTAGCTGGAATTCTTCACGTCAGAAGTTATAATTGCAAGTAAAACAAGGTATATTCTCCAGAACAGACCGATTCTTTTTGCCGTTGCTCTATTGTTCTTCAGCTTGTTAACACTCATCCCAATGAATCTGTACTCATTTTTAGGGCTGCTGTGCATTATTCATCAGCAACCATATTAATAGTAAAAATCAATAAATGCTTCTTCCAAACCCAGAACTTCAAACAAGACTGTCATTTTTATCATCTTCAATATGATTGGTGACAATCTCCAAAATTTTCTTTCACCTAGATCACTGAAAATATACATGCAGAAAGCATTTTGGAATGATCTTGTTTCATTCACAACTGTCTTTTTAGATTGTGCAAAGCCCCAGCACATCTTCAGTAAAATCTTCACTGCTGTCAATGGATGCCAACTTTTCATAGGCAAGAATTTTCTTGTAATGGTCCTTAATATTCTGTATGAGCCCATGATTTTTTGGCTAGAAACTTTTAATGCGTGTGTTAAGGGTGGGGGGGTGAACATTTTGTGAGTCATCCACACTTTGCTACTGATGTCATAATTATTTGGTAAATATCTGACATCTTTAAAAGCTCAAAGCCATTTCTAATTTCTAATGCCAAGAATGGGTAGCTTTGGCAGATTTCTTTTCTTGATTTTCAATTTAATGGCATATTTTTGTTCCAGATTTTTCAACCCAAGTCTTCATTCAAGTATTCATTAGTTTCTGCTGCAATATAAAAAGCATCATTTGAGACTTTCAGTCAAAAGTCTCAAATAAAGCACTTATGAGCCAGCACACATGGGCACTGCATGTGAAGGAACAGTGACCTGGTACCTATACCCCCATTGCATTGTATCAGACCACAATTTGTTTCCTGGTGTCAGCACTTGATAGAAGCACACTTCAGTAAACGCACCACAGATTCATTACAAGAAGCTGTCTGTACAATTTTAAGGACAGCTTAATGTTTGTCAGACAGTTTCTCAATATAATTGATGAGAAAGGATGGCTTCCAATTCAGTTATCGACTTATTTGTCAAAATAAACAAGCAAAAATTTATGTTGACATCAACATATACCATAAAGACTTACTAACAATTCTTAAAGTGAATAGGAATTTTTTTTTCTCAATATATACAAGCTGTTGATAAAAATGGGTTTAATACAGGACTGTATTGCTCTCCTTCATGACTTCTGGAATTGTAACCCGCAGCTGAATCTGCACTGTAACTTTTACTGTAGAAAAACTTTTCTGTTTTCCTCGGCACTTAGAGAGATCTTTGGGAAGACATAGATGGACTATCAGTGTTCAAGTATTTCAGCCTGAATCCACTAGGATGGACCAGCTGAATCCCCCTCAGAACACTCCAGTTAGCTCTGGTGTAAAGCATCACCACAACTGGATGAGAGGGCTTTGTGGTGTGTGAATGGTAGGGGCAACACCTGACTAACAGCCCAAGTTAACTCTACGATGAAGAATTAGCCTAAAGTTGTGGGTGGGATTGGTATTTTGCTAGGTATGAAATTCAGACCACAGTTACTCTCCCCACTTGTTTTATTTATCCTAAACATTTGTGTTCTGCAGTTCATAAGTAATTGGCAGTTTCTGGCAGTTCACTAAATGTTTTAAATGTCAAAAGTCTAAGAAAAGTCAAACTTGTATGCAAGGTGGCTATATATTGCTACTGAAATAAGTGTGGGCCTTTACATCAGAGTGTAATATTCCACTCTTAGTATGGCCATCTTTCCAATGGACTCACTTTGACATATGGTCACATTTAGAAATCCTTTAGCATCAAGAATACAGTAAAAATCACCAAAATACTAATAAAACTAATTTAAGATTTTAGCAAAAGAGATGGGCAGAAAATACTTTTTACAAAGTTATTTTTTAATCAGTTTTCATCAAAATTTACCCCAAGAGTGAACAAACTTGGGACACACTTCCTAAAATATGATATACTGCATTGCAGTTTGTGTTCTATAAATCTTACTGGGACTCATAGATTTTATAGACATTAGGGCTGGAAGGGACCTCGGAAGATCATCGAGTCCAGCCCCGCACCCAAAGGGGGAAAACCTTAAGTCTCTGGAATCATCATTTTTGTTAAATATTTACAATACAGTACCACCCAGAAGTCTCAAACAAGACTGGGTCCTTCAGTGTGGTAGGCACTGTAAAAATATATATGAAGAAACGACCTTGCACAAACAGATTATGCATCTCCCTGCTACAAAATGATGCATCTTTTTGAAAAAAAAAAATTCACAGAAGTTATACCAAAAGTGAAACCTACCAAACTGGATTATTATCAAGATACAAGGGGTGTCATTAAAAAGTTGTCATTTTAATTTTAGTTACCAGACAGTTGCTTCTTATTCTAAGTATGGGTGGAGGAATGTGTGATATCTTGGATATCACTTTGCAGTGACTCCGAGTAAATGAATACATTTATTGGTAACTATTGTAGGTCTTTTTTTTGCACAGGCTTAACAACATCCCTTTAACAGTTCAATGCATTTTAATGCTAAAAGGAAGCACTTTCCTTTTGAAACACCCGCGGTATTATGAAGTCAGTCCACAGGTTGGTCTTCTGTAGTTCCTTATGAGCTTAAATATTCTTAGGCTTTATAACCCACTCAGCATTTGGGTTCAGTTGGTAAAGGTCCTTCATGTATGTGTCATCATCAAGGCAGCGTTCTCCTGGTAAAGAGAGATGTGTGATTAAATTAATGTGAAGAAAGTGAATTGACTTTCAAAGCTGGTAAGCTTTTCCATTCTATTTAGGTTTTAGCATTGTGTCCACCATCAAGGTATTTCCCAAAGGGCAAAAAGAAGGCTATAGTCAGGAATAATGCTTTTCTTCTTTGGTTAACTTGGGGGCTCTAGCTGGTGAAGTTGTTTCTGATTACCTTATTTATTGTTCGGTTAGAACAAGGCTGTCCAACAGGTGGCCCCCAAATGATTAGCAAGTGGCCCATGAGCTCTCACTGGCCACCACACCCTCATGCCAGTTGCTCCTGCCCTGGAGTGGGGGAGCTGGACTACCTGTGCTGCAGGGGCACTGCAGAGGCACGCACACATGGAAGGGGATGCTGTGCTTGTGGTGTGGGAGTGCCTGTCTGACCTGCAGCACAGGTCTGGCTGAGCGGGGACAGCACCACAGAAGTAACAGACATCCGCCACAATTAAACGGCAGAGTCTATTACCACCTTTTGTTGTGCCACTAATTTTCCTTTCACGTAGCACAACAAAGGGTATCAACATCTATTTGCTCAGCATTTGGGCCACCATAAACATTTTATGGTGGCATAAATGAGATATCAGGTGACATCCATTTCCACTGTAACACACTACTGGACTGAGAGAGGACAGTCATGGAGAGAGAAGCAGTGCATTTTTTATGTTTTCTTAGAGTTTTATCTTAGTTTACTCTATGTCTAGTAACTGCATGAGCCATAATAAATGAGGTGTTAATACACATAGCAAGATTCCAAGGGTTAGAAAGGCAGCAAGACAGGTTAGTAAAAGCAGGGGCACTTCTAAATCCAAGTTCTTGGTTACAATTTCCCAGGCTCCCTCTTTCCCGTGGCAGCTTTCAGCTTTCCCCATAAGCTCTTTGTTCTAATCTGTTCACCATTACCCTACTCTTCTCTACCTTTTGTCCCTTCTGCATTTGAATCAGGCAGCCTCCTCCACACTGCCTGCAAGGGAAGGTTGAGGGCTCAGGGTTGAGGGCCCAAGGCAAAGCCTGCAGTCCATCCTTGCCCTGCACAAAGATCCGGGGTGTACATGCCCCCCATGCTTGCCTGGGAGTGCAGACAGCAGCAGGAGCTACCCTTCCGCCTTCCCCGCCCCCCCCCCCCGAGCCACTAGCAGCTCTGTCCTGCAC